CTAAGAAGGCCCTTTTCAGAATAAGGCTTCAACTCTTAAAAGTTAATACAAAGGCTTCTTATCAATGATACAACAGTATCAACATATGTTTCAGAAATATGCTCTGCCGATGTCAGAGATGTAGTATTGTCTGGCTTACGGACCATGATCTATACAAGTTTATTGCGTTTACTGCCCTCTTGCAGTAGCTCCATGGCCTCTTTAAATACTGCTCAACCACAAGTTCTTGCTAGGTTCCTTTACCTCTTTCAACCTCTTTTCTCATCTATGAGGATAATATTGCCTCTGGAAAGTGGGATTAGGTCACATGTTTATGTTCAGAGTTTAATAGGGTAGCTGATCCACTAAAAAAATAACAACAAAAAAGAAACATAATAGGATTTTTCTTAACCTATTAAAACAAAACTTTGAGTTCATGGTAATGTTAGAAACCATTAATGTTTGAATACTGAACATGTGAGGATCAAAGAAATTCTTTAATAACTTTGAGGTCTTTGTGGAGATTAACACTGGACTGCATTAAAAACAAGTTCTCCAGAGAAAACTGACTGAAAGCCAATGAGATCGTTACTATCTATAAGGTCACTGTGGTAGTAAACATGAGCTGGGTTCGCCCTGTGTTACTGCACAACTGAACTACATTCTAAGGTTCATAGGCTCAGAGAAATGTAGTAAGCAGAATTCTGCCCAGTAGTTTTGTACACAAGATCAATAAAATTACAAAGTGAAGTTTGTTGTTAAAAGTCAAACAAGGATTATGCTTGAACTAAAAAATAAATAATAAAAAATTTAGTTTGTTGTTGATTCTATTCAGTTTACTTAGCAGACATTTTTTAAGAATACATGATTTAGTTCTCAAAATTTCCCTATTATTGCTGACCTTTATGGAGGAAGCCAATCCACTTAAATTCCTTAGAAAACAACAGTTTCTGGCTCTTGACAATTTCCTATTTTGATTTTGAATTAATTTCTGTTCTGGTCTTTAAGGGAAAATGTTATAATTATACTAGGAAATATCTTAATTTCTTCTAATTCTAAAGATGAACCAATACAAATCGAAGTTTAAAGTCACAAAAATGGGGGCTGGAGAGACAGCTTGCAGTTAAAAGCAGTGACTGCTCTTGCAGAGGACCACCTTCATGTGGCTAACAATCGTTAACTCCAGTTCTAGGGGATCTGACGCATCACGTGTGCACTTACACACATGCAGACAACATACTCATACACATAAAACATTTTTAAAAATCACAAAGATAGCTCTACTGTAAGACAGGCTTTCCAACTGATTATTGAATTTTTAGTTATACTATACCCACATACAATATGCTATTTTGTAAACTGTTCAAAATACTCTTAAATTTATTGATTGTGCATGCACATGTGTACCACAGCATTCATGTGGAAGCAAGAAGACAAGTTGGGGGTGTCGGGTCTCTCCTTCCACCAGGGGATCAAACTCAAGTGGTCAGGCTTGGTGACAAGCACCTTTACCCCCGAGCCGTCTTATCAGTCTCTAGTCTATGAATATCAGATACTGACTAAAATCTTTTCTTTTAAAATCCTACTGAGAAAGCAGGTTAACCTGATTTCATGTGGGAAGAGATTTGCTGACTTCACATTCTTGCTTGGGAACATGAAGAGGAAAAGATAGTGACTCTTTAAGATGAACTGCCAGCTCAATGATCAGGGAAACCAAATTAAAACAGCAAATTACAAATAAAATACAGCAAAACAATGCTGAGGGAACTACCAATTTCAGAGCTACCAATTTAGGATATTTTACATAAGATCAGTTTTCAACCACTTTATGAAATGTAAAGTTATACGGAATGTGACCCAAGATAGCAGAACAATCAGGAAACTAGAACACAGGTTAGTAGGAATCATCAAATAGGAAAAACAAAATAATAAAGATTAAAGATAAATGTAGAAAGCCTTAAAGATCTGTGATACATCATATCATATACACACGGACCCAAGAAGAGCAGAACATAAAGGACACAAAAAATAACTGACTATAGCACCCCCCAAATATCCTAAATTTGATTTAAAAATTAATCTACAAATCCCAGAAGCTCAACAAACCCCAATATAAACAGAAATAAATGCAGGCCTAGATTCACCTGCTTGAACAACTGAAAGCCCCAAAGAAAACCTTCAAAACAGGAGAAAAACAACTCAGCACATGCAGGAGTACAATACAATTAACAGCTGACCTTTCACCACAGGCAACTGTGGTCACAGGCAGGTGGAATGAAGCAGTTAAAGTGCCAGGGGAAAGCATCAGGAATTCAAAATCCATCAACAATGTCCTTCAAAATTAATTTGGAATATATTCCAAAATAAAAATTGAATGTTATTGGTATACTTATTCTTATGTGGAATACTACAGAAGATATTTAATGCAAAGAAATAACAGACCTAGCAAGTAAAATCCACAGGAAAAACACAGTGCAGAAACAGTGGTTAACATGTGAGAAAACATGAAGGTTTACTAGCATGTATTTCTTCTCTTAAGGTTTTGTTTGTTTGTTTGCTTGTTTGGTTTTTGAGACAGAGTCTTCCTGTAGCCCCAACTGGCCTGGAACTCACTATACATAGTGAGACCATGTTGGCCTCCATTTCACAGAGATCCACCTGCCTCTGCCTCCCAAGTGCTAGGATAAAGGGCATGTGCCATCACGCCTGGCCCTTCTCTTAAACTCTTTAGAAGTCAGGATTATACAGTGAATTATCACAGCATTGGGATACCACATAAACACACTGCAAAGAAGGAAGGGAAATGAAATCAAGCTGAAATAGAGCAGAATTGCTAGCCTTATCCAGATGTCAGTCTATACTTATCTGAAGTGGACTATGAAAAGTTAAAATGCCACCACTCAGAACACAACTCCAAATGACAGATATGAATCTTATCGTAATTCTATTAAACTAAACTAAAATAAAAATCTCTAATCAAAACACAAGTTTAAGCTTTTGGGTGTGGTACTGCACATTATTAGTCAAAGAAGGATATTTTATAATGGTAAAAGGTCAATATATTAGAAAGATACAAGAACTATAAAGGTAACAACAGAGCTCTAGCTGAGTATGGTGGCACATGTCTTTAATCCCAGCACTGGCGAGGTAGAAGCAGGTAGATCTCTGCAAGATCAAGGTCAACTTGGTCTACACAGTGGGTGCCAGGCCAGGTTGGGCTACCGGGAGACTCTGTCTCAAAAAAACAAAAACCAAAGAAACAGACCCTTAACAACAGACACCCCTCCACACGCACCAAATACATGAAGCAAAAGCTGACAGAATCAACAAAAATAACAATTCTATCAAAAATTACCATATCTGAACTCTTAAATATTTTTATTATTTATTTATGTGCATGTCTATGTGTTTGTACATGTGTATGTGCACCTGTTTGTGAGTGCCCAAGGCCAGAAGGGGTGTCAGATCCCCTAGAGCTAGAGTTACAAGTGGTTGTGAGCCACCAGATGCAGGTGCTGGGATCGGATCCTCTACAAGAGTAGCAAGTACTCTTAACACTGAACCATCTCTCCAGCCTCCCATATTGCACTCAATAACAGAACACTCAGATACAATGACCAAACTCTTCAAAGAATACCTAAACCCAGTGTAAAAGAAACAGAAATTATGAGTGAATTAATATCTTTATAACAAATAATTTAAATCTCTCTCCCTGTACATACACACACAACCTAGACTAGATGTTTTTAACTACTTTAATATACATAAAATATACCAATTCTTTTAGAGAACAGAGACTGGCAGGGGAATGTTTTCTGTATCTCTCTCTCTGTATCTCTCTCTCTCTCTCTCTCTCTCATCTTCTCCCTCCCTCTCCCTCTTCTTTCTCTGAGACAGGACCTCACTATGTCGCCTAGGTAGGACTTGAACTTGCAATCTCCTGCCTCAGTCTCCCAAGTCCTAGGATTATCCACATGTGCCACCATGCCTGGCTCCATTCCATGAGACCAGAATTACCCATCCACCAAAGCAAGATTAAGATATGAAATAAGAAACCAATATTCCTCATGGACAATACAAGAAAATTACTAAACATATTAGCAAATGAAATCCACAATATATCCAAGTGATGAAGACCATGACTGAGTGAGCTATGTGTCCACACTCCGCCTCCCTTCTGCTCCATCCATCCCCTCAGCACTGAAATCCAGGGCAGATTTGGAGGTTAGCTGCAGTGGGACATCTGTTAAGGTGAGAGGTTTCAAAGCTCCTAAATTTCACCTATAGGTCTTGCTTTTAGAGACAGTTAACAGGAGGAAGAGGGTATATCTAGCATCCACCTTACAACCAGTTAACCTAGTTCTGGGTGGAGAGCCATATTGATCAACAGCCAAATACAGTCCATGACAAGGTTGCAATGAGAGAAAAGAGTAAAAGCTATAGTAACAGTTCTCAGGAAGTACTCATACACCTGAAACTTCTATAACATTCTCTAGGGGCCTGTAAAGAATATTATTCAGAAACAACAGTCCCGGGCATTCGTTCATGTCTGCACATGTCTGTCAGCTCACAGCATGAGAAGTTATCAGTTTGCGCTAATGAGTAAAAATCTGCTCCACATTTTTACATAACAAAGCTTTTCAGTTCTATTTTTAAAAAGTAGTATTCCAGATGAAAGAAAAAAATGTGGAATCCTGAGATAGTCTCTAGATGTCACAGGTGACATCAACTATAAATGCTGAGACTAATATTTTAAATGATCAAACCAGAACACAGCCATGTATTTAGTAGCAAAACCTTTTTCTCTAACGTTCGAACTTAGGATTCAAAATTCCAGGTAAACATTTCTAGGAAAAGCATGTCTAGATTAAGTCTATGGCCTTAGAAGCATAAGTAATTTCAAAAACTACATTGGCTGGTCATACATACAAATAATCAAAGTTTGTATTTTTTCTTTGAGTGAATTTCAAACATAATGTCAATTTCTATATTATAAACTAAAAAATAAATCATGACAAATCTGCAGATTAGACACAATTTTATTTAAATAATTTAAAACCACAAAGTAACCCAATTTATAAATATAAAAGTAGAGACCTTAGCAACTAAATATAAGCACCACATGGAAGCAGAAGACATATTAAATCATTCAGGCCTTTGGAAGATTAAGGCAATGTAAATACCTCAAGTAACTTTATGAGAACACTTTTACTCACACAAAGATGTTATTAAACATCTCAAACAAGCAGAGCCGACATTTTTTTCAGTATGAAGTCTTCTCATCCAGTTTCTTGTCTAAATATTAATGATCCTTCTGATATGGCACTTAGTCTAGATTAACAAATGGGCTGTCAAAACCACTATCTTGCTGGCTAGTCAGGGGAGCAGTTAATTTTCCTGAAGGCTTCTGATCCTCTGAAGATGATCCTGTGCCACTCAGTTTTCTGAAATCCGACTTGCACGTGTCACTGCTATGCTGAGATGGGTGTCCCAGAGTTGCTCCAATCTTCCCTTGCTGGGAAGACGTGGTTTCTTTGGGCAAGTCTGCAGTACAGTGACTCTGACATTTCACTGATTGACAAATTCTATTACTTTTCTCCATATCTGAAAGACAACTGGCTGCTGAAAATTGTTTTAACTTAATAGATTCACCTAGTATATCCAGAGTCCTTTGTGACCTATCATGTAAAAATGACACGTCTTGACTGCTACAGGGTAAAGTACTATTGGAAAGCCAGGCAAACGAGTCACTAAGTGCCCCTCCATCCTTCACTGGAGTGTCCTGAGTACCCCAAACCTGACTCTTCTCAGGTGCAGCACTCTCCCTTTCTGTTAGAGAATCACATACATATGCTTTCAAATCTGGCCTTTCATTGGGACCTTGAAAGGCTATATCTGTGGATCCTAATTCAGAAAGGCCAGGAGTACATCTGGGTGCAGATTTTGTTCCAAAGGTTCCAAGGAGGGGGGGTGTGGCCAAATGCAGAGGTGACTCAGAGCCAGAACTGAGTGGGTCTTTCTTTTTGTGCAAATCAAAGCCTTCTTCACCCCTGCATGGAATGAGCCCTGGAGCAACATTCTTTGCCAACATGTCTGGGAGTCTGAAAGCCCCATCCCCAAGCTGAAAGTCTGAATGTGAAGACTGCGAACCCAAAGGCTTTAGGTCTCTGTGCTTTGAACCCTCTAACCGCCTTTGTAAATTACACACAGCCTTCCTCTGAGGAACCTGCTCACACGTACTTCTGGGGATGGCTTTTACAGAGTTTGATTTGCTTTCACTGTAACGTGGTATATTCTGATTCACGTCATTTCTTTTTGCTCTTTCAACTCCAATCAGCGTCTCTGAAGTCAGGGGCAGCGCTACTAAGTGCAAAGGAACACAAAGTTAGAGGCACAAATTAGGAGAAAATTAATGTTTTAAAGAGAAGAGTAAATTTATGTCTGTGTATTCTCTAAGAATATGCATCAAAGGTAGACATTCTTTTTACCCATGTCCACATAAAGAGAGCTTGGTCATTTTGCTGTGAACGTTATATACTATTACTGCTTTCCAGCCAGTTCATCTCCCCCCACCCCCACTAGATACTACAATTCAAGAGCCAAGAGTAACGTTGATGTTGCTCAGATTCTGGTGTCTAGCATGAAATTTCTGAAAAGAAAGTTTAGTTGAAGAACCCTAGCTATCTAGTGATTACAACAAACACTGCTCTCTAAAAGCCAGGACACTAAATCAGATCAGAGGAAAACAGCCACAGCACAGTTAGAAGAATCGTATCTCAGCAGTTATCTCAGACCCCAGCACTCAATGACAGGATTTGGTTCTATTGTTTCCATATTCTTGTCCCCAAACTAGAACACTGTGTTCTTGTCATCTGCCACTGCCTTTCTGTAACTAAGAGTTCAAAACCCCAATCCAAAACTGACACAAGTAACATTTGTGATTTGATGAGAACCATTTCATGGGTGCAGGAACAATCTCTGTTTCCAGTTTACTAGAAGTTCAAAAGCTGGATTTCCACACAGTGTGTTAAGAAAGTTTGAGAGGGAATTTTGTGATTTTCTTCACATATTTCTATTGGTGCTTATTTAATAAATTCTAAAGCTGTGCAGTACATAGTCACAGTTCACAGGAGACGGCCATTATTATTGGGGCCTGTCATCTTTGTCCCTTTTAATGTTAACTCTAATTTACCCACTAAAGCATTTGCATTCATAAGACAGGCACTTTAACCAACTAAGCTATGGAACCACATTACATTCATAATCTAATAACAGCATTTCATTTCTTATATTATCTTTCTTCATTCCTCTTGAGTGTTTGATGTTCTTTTTGAAAAATAGCAAACAGCAACATTTCATAAAACCCTATTTGAAAGGTGTGGCTTTTTTTTTTTTTTACCACTAAAGCATTTGCATTCATAAGACAGGCACTTTAACCAACTAAGCTATGGAACCACATTACATTCATAATCTAATAACAGCATTTCATTTCTTATATTATCTTTCTTCATTCCTCTTGAGTGTTTGATGTTCTTTTTGAAAAATAGCAAACAGCAACATTTCATAAAACCCTATTTGAAAGGTGTGGCTT